CTCGCCTTATTATAGTTATAGTTTATATTAGAATATTTTTAAGTATTTTCTAATACTTTCGAATAAATTGGATAGTTTTTCTCGAATTGTTTGGATAATTTTAAATATTTTCAGATATTTTTAGGCAATTTTTTTTTGGATTTTTGGATATCTAACTGGATTCGAAAGGACCCAAACCAAATCCAGAAAAAAATAAACCCGGATAGGAATTATAGGTTTGGTACCAAAAACCTAAAAAAAAAAAGAACTAACGGGTACTTGAATGCCTGATTCAAATATATGAGGAGAATCTTGTAAAAGGCGTCACACGTGAGAATTATTCAACACAATTAATTTTTCTTAGAATTCATCTAATTTAGTAAAGCTTATAATTTCTTCACTTCATTTCTGTTGAATGAAAACAACTTCGAGGGTGTATTCAATCAAATATTTGTGAGGATTTGAAGTGATTTGATTTTAGATGACTTATAGCAAAATTATAAGTTTAAGAATCATGATTTATATCTTCCGCAGCACATATATATATGAACTTTTTTAGAGTCGATAAAAAGATTATATTAAAGGAAACAAAAATTGTATGAAACAAGAGCACATACAATAGGAACAGCACGTTGTGGAGTTTAGTCGAAACTTCACCGGAAAAGGGGACATAGATCCTTCCCTGAACCCTAGCTACGTCTCCTTACTCAGATCCCTATGCTCCGACAAATCTCAAAGACTCAACTCTTCCCCAGTGGTCGGAATGGACCCTACCGGACCTCTCACCTTTTCTTTTCTTTTTTTCCGCTAAGAATGTAAATATCATTAACGAAAAGACCTCTCACCTTTGAGTTTGATGCCGGCTACTTCGTCTCTCTCCTCCAACGCAAAGGACTCTTCAGTCTTCACCTCCGACGACGCCTTGTTAACTGATCCCTCCGCCACTTCCACCGCTAGTGTTTCCCGTGACTCCAACACTTTTCTTGCTTAGTCTATGATCAAGATGAGTTCCATTAGTTAAAGTCCTTACACTTGGAAATAAAGATGGTAAGATTCGCTCGTGTCGTCAACTAACAAAACCACTTTTCATCCAAATGGTAAACGTTATTTGATTATCGTGTAACCATCTTTGAGATTTGTGTTTCTTAATTGTTTTACAATATTCTTGATGGATGCAAGTGGAAATGTATCATGATTAAATGGGTACTCTCTCTTGTGCGCATGCATAATAATTTATCATGCCAACTTCCACAATCTGTATCTCAATGGAAACCTTTTTTTTTTTTTTTTGTAACCAAGAGGTTCCGAGTCTTAGGCATGTAGTTTTCCTGAATCCGACTACTAGAGTAAGTTAATAATTTGTCCCCTACCCAACGTTGGCTTTGCTGTTGCTGAATTCTTGAAACTGGTTTTGGGAATGGGGCTTGGATGTCGTGAAGAATCTCCAACGGATTGGTTGGAAATGAGTGAAGTTGTAAGTGAAAGAGCTTCTTTAAAATTTAACAACTAGAGACGTTGACGTGTTCACAATAAAATTATCAAGAGTTCACAAAGACATAAAGGAAATAGATGATTGTTCTAAATTTTACAATGATTTCCCAATCGATTAATAGTGTGGACAGAACGAAGAAATATCATTACTTGTAAAGTCGTAGCATAATCACAACATACATAAGTACACACGAGAAATGCTTATGATAAGCGAGACTTTGGTTTAATTCATGAACATAAACAAGTGAAGAACTTTCAGCTGGTGAAGAAATTTGAGTTTAATATAAATTTTATATAAGCTACTATTCAGTAAGTTAGTACTAAAAAGTGTAGTATTCAAAATTTTTTGAAAAAGTGTAGTTTTCAAATTAAAAAACACAAACAAAATATTTTTCCATATTTCCTCAAAAAGATATATATATAGGCGTTTAAAGCATCGCCAACAAGAAATTTTTGGTGAGTTTTTCCAAAAGTTATAAAAATACTAAATATTAATAAGATATTATGAGTTTTTTTCCACAATTGAAAAAACCCATTTGAAAATTTTGTTTAATTTAAAATATTTTAGGTGGGTTTGAAACTC